TTGTGGATTTTTCCTGAGAAAATCTTTCATTTATCTGGACTAACAGAATGGTTCAGAACTGATTATAAGACAGAAATGTTAATTAATCGTCATAAATGTTTTGCAGTGATTTCTCTTAGAGTCTATCAGAAGAAAGCTGAAGAAATGTTATCATCCTGTTGTGAACAACCACAGAATTTTAACCTTGGGCTGGCGCCCTGGCAAATCTTTATCTTTCTTTCTCTGACTCATCTCTACACCTGAGGGCGGAACCAAAGTTTGTCCGCTTCTTTTACTAACCCGGACACCTTTGAGTGACACACTCTTCTTCCTGACTCCAACTAGGAAGAAAGCTGAGTTCTCTCTCCAGAGAGAATCAATTTGGCTTGTTAGGTCTTTCCCATGAGCTAACTAGGGGAGACTTAACAGCAGGGACCCCGGACGCCGTCGGTGGTCCCACCCTGAGGCTTCAAGTCTCTAAAGTGTGTTTTTACCTCTGGAGGGCAGATTTTATTTTGAAAGAAGGAACCGGATGACAGCTTGAATCTTTCTGGCTTGGACTGAAACAGACGAAAAGTTACCTGGAAAACACCTACTCTCCAAGGAACAGTAAGCGAGCCGATAAAAAGTTCCCTGACTGATCGGAGGTGAGACAGTTCCTACCCAGGGGTGACTCAAGAAGCCATCACCAGGTAAAACTGACGTGTTCGGGGTGACGTGTCATGTGGAAATCTAAGCGCAGAAGCGACGTGCTGATCCGGTTGAACCACACTTTGTTAAAGTAAAATTTGTAGAAATGCTAACCTTACTTTCCTCCTTTTCTTGTCTTTATTTGCCAAAACTTAAGCTAAAAGTGCCAGTAAAATTGTTTGGTTGTTAACATCAGAACTGATGTTTTACTGTTCTATATAAGTAATCTGAGTTGATGTGAGTTGAAATTCGGACGCGGATTTTCATCTCATTTAACTTTGACACTTTTTATAGGAATACCCACAATCAAGTGTACTTAGGATTTGTTCAATTTGTGTAAATAAATGATTGCATAGTTTTTTATGAATCAACTTGAACTCGTCTGAACGTTCACTTATTGTGTCACTTTTCACTTCGCACAGTCAACATATTAAAAGTAATGAGAAATTCCTTGGTAAAACTTTCCTCATAATCTTGTGTATGAGAGATGTGGGAGAAGCTTAATTCACCTTAAGCCCACCTCCTACAAGTGAAAATCAAAAAACAAAGAACAGCAAATCGTCCAAATTTAAAGCTACGACAAAACGTCTGGCTCTATTTCTAAGCTGAAAAATGTTCTCTAATCAATGAACCTGATCATATTTGGTGCAGGTCGGTCTCGGTGAACCGAACGATCCAACAAGACAGTTTTTGCCCTGAAGCTGCTCGGGAGGCGAGTTTTAATTAATTTACTTCCTCCTGGGGAACTTCAGGTGTCCATCAGCGTGAACAACAATCACTTTATCATCAATAAACATCAACAACCTGTCCTCCATCATAGAAATCATCTCAGTTATAAGAAAAAAAAAGCCTCAGCACTTTGAACAGTCAATTCATTCAATTGGAGAAATGTGGTTATTTTACTAATTCATTTAAATGAACTGATCCTGAGAGCTTTTGAAAGCGAGGATTAGATAATATATTCTGTTTGAACACATTAATCTGAGTTTTTGTTTGGCTTTTATTTAATGAAAACTTCAGAGTCTGTTTCTTTGTTGAATGAAGGTTAAAAAGCAGCCAAACTCACAGGGATTTTTTTTTTGGTGCCGTTTTCTAATATTTCTTCTCTTACAGCTGAACTTTTGTCATTAATTGAGTGTGGCTGCTGACTCGACTCCCTGAATGGAGCCTGATTTATGGCTCGGCCCTGTTTGTTTGGGAATGTGACCTCTTCAGATTAGAAACAATCTTTCATAATAACTTCAGCCGTGGCTCATAATTCATGCATTATGGGAGTAAATAAAGCTCAGCGCTGAAAAGAAAAATAAACCGTCTCCGCTGGATGCGTTACGTGAATTTTTATTTTATTTCTATGCTGTTAGTAAGAATTATAAAGTGGAAGCAGCTCTGAATATCAAGGAGGACGTGTTTATATTTTCTGAAATGGTTGGTGAGAAAATTTCAACACAAAAATCCTTAAAAGTGACCTGTAAAACCACATTTCTGTCAAAACTAGAAGTTGCAGCTGAAGCCAAAACCAAGCCGTTAAAGCTAAAACAAATAGACAAAAGCTAAAATGATCAGAATGAATGGTAAAAGCTAACAAACAGTAACTAAATGTTAACTTGTAATAAAAAAATGCTAGCTATAAATTAAGAAACAAACTAAATGCTAAAGCTGGCAAAATCCTAGCAAAATTGACAAAACACTAATCAAAAGCTAAAAGTAGCTAGGGCTACATAATAGCTAAAATTAACTGCTGGTTAGTATAAAATACTTGGTAAAAGCTAAAGGCTAGCCAAGGGCTTAAAGTACTAAAATGTTAGCTAACTAAATGCTAAAAGTTACACCAGTTAAGAGAAAAACATAGCATATGTCTAGCGAAAACTAGCAAATCAAAAGCCAAAAGCTAAAATTAGCAGAATATAAGGTAACAAAGGATTATTTAAAACCCAAAAGCAGAAAATGATAGCTAAAAGCTAAAGGTAGCACATGGCTAATCAAGGGCTCAAAGTACCAAAATGCTATCTATATTAAAAGTTTAAAAGGTTAACGACAAATAAAAAGAAACACTAGTAAAAAAAAAATAGCAATGCCCAATTCTAGTTAATACTAGCAAAACAATAGCTAAACGTATCAGAATAGCTACTAGATAACAGCTATAAGTTACTATTAAAACCTACAAGTAGAAAATGACAGCTAAAAGCTAAATGTACCACATGCCAAGGGCTCCAAGTACGAAAATGCTTTGATGAAGCAAACTAAACGTTTAAAAGGCTAACTAACTAAATAAATTAAAAATAGCATAAGTCTAAGTAAAACTATAGCAAAAACAATAGCTAAAAGTAGCAGATCGCTATTTAGAATCTAAAGGTCAAATAAAAGCTAAAAGTATCAAAACGCTCACTAAAGTCAACATGGAGTAATAATTTAGCATAACATATTGAAAGAAGTAAACTAAAAACAAACAGGAAATGATTTAAATTTGAACCAACAACCATCAAAGAGCAGATGGGGCCTCTGCAGTGTTGATGACAAGCTGAGATTAAAAAAAAACCTGAAGACACTGAAAATCAAACCAAGCCATCCTTCAGGTGCTTAAATAAACCCACAGATAATCTCCTGACAGCTCGGAGCAGCACCAGTGGATCAGGATGATCTCTCTCTGCCTTCACTCACCGTGAACTCCCGGAGGTTTTCACATTTGCGCGAGCTCTCCCCGGGCGGCTGGCCTCTCCTGCACAGCTTGTTGTGGAGCCACATCAGCAGGTACCAGATGGACTTGGGGCTGGGGATGATGTTGAACGGAGGCGGCAGCGTGCCGCCCTCGTCAAAGTAACTCATCCAGAGCTTGGTGCGAGCAAACTTCCACTCGATGTCAGCGTGGTCCTGCAGGACAGGAAGGACACTTTTAAACTAGAGGTGTGTCAACAGTGGTGGGCAGCGCTAATCCAAAAATTAGCTCCGCAATTTCTAAAGTGCTCAGGAAAATATTTAGGTCCGCAACTTCAAAAGCGCTTATGCCACAGAAAAACTAGCGGAAGCTAATTTTAAAGCACAAGTTCAATTTGACACTAGCTAGCAATAATTTGTGTACAATATATGCACAAAACTGCCAACTAGCGGTGTATTAACTCTTTTACAACTTAATTCTACAACCGCCAATTGCTGGGGATGTGATTTCCTGAAACAGACCTTTAGCTCCTGGTGTAAAAAATAAAAAGTTGTTGAGCATTGCTAGTTTGGCTGATTCTTTAAAAAGTTGTTGAGGATTGCTAGTTCGGCTGCTTCTTTGTCTTTTTCTTTTAGATTTTTCATTAAATCAATAAAGTAATTTTAAAACTGTTTATTGGAAAATTGAAGCGATGCATTCTGGGTACATGACAGATTTGATTTGTGATGGGAATCGAAAGCACAGAGTACAGGAAACTATCTTCCCTTCAAAATAAGAGCTTGGATTTTAAAGTTTTCCATGTAGTTGCTCTAGTTGACCACTAGATGTCTGTCTTCATCAGCATAACATCTTTAAATCATTTCTGAGTCTCTAACGCCGTTGGTCCATTGAATTGAACTCCAGCGTTTAAACTTTATTTTTTTTAAAAAGGGAGCTTCGATTGTAAAGTAAAAATAAATCAATACATACAAAAATAGATTACAAACGTTAACTGTTTTTGCTATTGCCTTCCTGCTACGTAAGCAGACACAAAGCATTGTGGGAAATCAGAACCGTGACCGAAAGCAACTGTCAGCAAGGATGTACACCTTTCCAATAAGTGTGTTTATCTGGGAGGGGTGCTGTTGGATAGATCACGTGTGTTGTAGTAGTGGTAGTAGTAATAGTAGTAGTAGTAGTAGTAGTAGTAGTAGTAGTATCCTTTATTTAACCAGGAAAAAGACTCATTGCTTGTTGTGATTCATTGGCAGTCATACCTTCCGCTGTTCAAGATAATGATGACTGGTAAATAATTAGTTATTAGCGGTACTGCATTTTAATTTTAGAAAGCGCAAATCCGCTTATGAATTATAAAAATTAGTAAAACCACTAAAGCGCAAATGAAATATTTATGTCCGCAATTAGCGGATTCGCGCTTTAGCGGGCTGGTGCCCACCACTGTGCATCGATAATCTGTAATTGAATCATTAATCATTTTATCGATAAATCAATGAGGATCAATTAATTGTAACAGCCCTATTTTGAACCTGGAGAATCCATTTCTCTGGATTCCTAACATTGACGTTGTCAAGGACAGATTCCTGTCTCAAAGCAGACATTTTGGGACACCTGTAACGGAGGAACTCACAGCGATGAGCTGGTAGGAGTTGTTCATCATGGCGATCAGCATGTTGAGCAGCACCACCAGCGAGATGACGTTGTACGTCCCGAACATCGTCGCCCCGACGAACTCCGTGAACTCGTGGCGAGCCTTCACGTTGGTGACGTACAGGTTCAGCAGCCCGAAGACGGACCAGAAGAGGGACTGGAGGGTCTCGAACAACCTGAAGGGGAACAGAAAGACGGCACAGTTAACTCTGCAGAGACGATACAGAACTTTATAATAACTACATGTTATTTAGCCTTACTTAATCATTAATAAATGGTTAGTTAACCTCGAAAATATTATGAATTAAGGATGATTCAAACTTGATAACCTATTAATTAGCACATTTCATAATGCTTTACTCATAAAGGCTAATTTGTTCTAAAATCAACATAGTCATTGTTTAATCATGCTTTATAACTCATGAATTAACTATACTATGGTACATTTACATAAATCCTCATATAGATATACTTTCACATCATGTGTTAGACGTATCACTGGTTAGAGAATATTTAAATTGATTATCTACCAATCCTGGAGCGCATCAATAATTAGCAGTTGTAGTTTTTTGTAAAGTGTTATTTAATTCAAACACTAACATTAATACATGTCTAACACATGGTGTGAAAGTACATTTATAAGAGCATTCATACATTCATGAGTTATTAAGCATTAATATACAAAGACTCTGTTGGTTTTAGAAGCATTAATAAGCGTGTTAATTTCTAGCTTAAGTATGAACCCTTCAAAATTATTGATGCTTTCAAGGTTAACTAACCGTTTATTACTGATTAAGTAAGCACAATAAGGTGTAGTTAAAAATTGTTACCCAGAGCTTTTAAAGGGGGTGGCGGTGGAGGTTTATTGTGCATTTTTCAGGCACATAGTTCACTTCTATAACACAATCAACTATGCTACCTTCAGTTGTTATAGAAATTCTGTATATATCAAAAAAAAATTGACTTTGCATCATAAACTAAACACCTTGAGATTGGCCTCTGTCTCTTTAAGAACCTCCTACTGTTTCAGACACTCCCACTTCAGAATGTTTTCACAGCAATGCTTTGTGGGAGGGGTGCTCTGTGGGGCGGGAGCTCGACAGCAGACTGAGCTCCAGGGAGGAGCTTTGTGTGAATAGGTGGAGTTTTGTACAAATAGGCGGAGCTTTGTACCAGGAAGCTGTAGACAGCTCCACATGGCTTCCACATGAGATTCAAGGATTTGTCAAATATGCATAAATGAGTTAAAGCAACACTCTGGGAATGTTTTTGATGATATAAACCCGGTTTTGTATTTGCCTTTAGATATCCTCAGCTCTTCACTGACATCTTCCACATCCTCTCATCCAGCTGGTTTTCCTCAGTTCTCTGTCTCGTCCCCTGTTAGCCCACAGATCCTGACAGTTTACCTGTTTGTTTGTGTTTCCTCTGGACTGTTTGATGTGAAGTCATTGAACAGACAACTTTCTGGAAGGATCAGAACTTTGTGGGACACCGTTCTCCCTCTTTTCTTCTACAACTCACTGTGATGCAAGACCTTCCCCATCTTTCAGTTTCTTTTTTTAATCTTCAGCATCTTTGTTTACCTCTTTTCATCCCCCCATCACCTGTCTCCGTCCTCTGTTTGTCTTCTCTTGTCTCTCTGTGGTCTCTTTGTGCGACAGTCGCTGTTACAGCGGTGGTTATTAAATTTTTGATGAAGCAACAATCATCAGCGCTCGACACTACATCAAGTGGGTGGGGGTGGGGGGGGGGGTCTGAAGGCTGGTATATTTATGCTGCATAAAATATTCAGGGCTGCAGCATTTATTCTGCGTGCAGTGTGCGGCAGAGGCGAGTGATCATTGTATCAATCAGTACACAAACTGTGCTTCCTCGCAAACAGGATGTGAGTGATGGTGTGAGGGTGTGTGTGTGCTGAGGGTATGTGGTTCTGTGAGTGTGTATTTGAGTTTGGGGTGAGGGGTGGGGGGGGGACTCTGTGTTGTGTAAGCGAGGAGAGAGAGCGGGAGAGATAGGGAATTAAATCAACGATGAATGAAGCAGCCAAGCGTGATATTGTGTCAGTTATGAAACCAGAAAGATGGAGAGGACGGGAAAAAAAGAGCAACGAAAAGGAGGAGGGGGTGAAACTCAGGGTTTGTCCCCCTTTTTTTATTTTTCCACCCTTCTCTTGTTTTACTGTTTTTAGATATGAAGGGATGTAAGGCACAGTACGAAGGCCAAAATTAAGACTACCTAATTAAGGCATTAGGACTGGAGAGGCAAGCGACTAGCATGAATAAGCCGGTGTTTGTATTAGTGAGGCTAGCGACTAGCATGGATAAGCTGACATTAGCATTAGTGAGGCTAGTGACTGGCATGGATAAACTGGCATTAGCATAGGAGAGGGTAGCGACTAGCATGGATAAGCTACATTAGCATAGGAGAGGGTAGCAACTAGCATGCATAAGCTGACGTTAGCATAGGAG